AAAAAATTAAATATGTCGTCACCAATAGCCTAGTGGTTAAGTGCGTTGACATGTGGCACCAAGGTACTCACGGCGACTCGAGTTCGATTCCCAGCTTCCCCAATGCTTTTCTGTCTTCCACCACTGTCCTAGCTAATAAAGGTGAAAAACCTCAAAAATAAAAAAGAAAATTAAACATTTAGTTAATCTGGCACCCCATAAAAATCCTGTAAAAATACCCAAAACTATGCCATTCGTTTGTGCTACGTTTGTTCTGATTTGTGCCGCAAAAATGAACGTTTGTCTAAAATATTTAAAAGCATTATTTTTTTGACCGTTTGACGTCACTTTCCACCCAATGTTGCTTAAATCACTTCAAATCTACACAGTTCGTTTGTGCACGATTAGTGCTGGTTTGCAACGTTAAAACAAACACTATGTGTTTTCCTCGTTTAGATTTAACTAAGTGAAGTTTATGTATAAACAAATTTCGAGAGGATCACGTGCTTATGATTGCTAGCGGCTGGATCCGCATTATCCAATTCACTACGCTCCAATCAGATGACTCCTAAACTACTATAAATACCCTGGGTTTCATTCCACTTTTATCTTCGTTTTGAAGAGTCCCCCCCTTCCTCTCCTACTCCTCCTTCTTAAATGGATGACATGGTGGCACAGTGTGTAGCACTGTTGCCTCACAGCAAGAATGTCTCTGGTTCCAGGCTTTACCAAACCAGCAGACATTTCTGTGTGGAGTTTGCACTTCTCCCCGTGCTCACTTGGGTTTTCCCCAGGGTCTTCCCACCGCCTAAAAACATGCAATTAAGTTAATTGAATAATCTAAATTGGCACCATAGATATGCTTCTAGTACGTAGTTATCTTCAAGAGCAATCACTTACTGTTCATTGGTTACTACAGCAGGGGAGTTCTCGAGATCTACCTGAGCTCAAACTCCCCACCCGCCTTGCAACAGGAGGGAGCCATGGGCTCGAGGATCTCATGAGCTCAGGGCTCTCTCCCGGGACAGCATGCCAAACAAGCTTTTATAATTAATCATCAGCTAAGTGTGAACTCTTGAAAATATTTCGGGAGCCGTGATGTCACTCTCCACCCCACTTTTTACTAAAACACACAAAACTGGTGTCAATCATTTGTGCTCGATTAGGGCTGGTTTGCACCGTTAAAACAAACACTGTATGTGTTTTCCTCATTTAGATATAACTAAAATATTTCGGGAGCCGTAACGTCACTCTTCACCCCACTTTTTCCCAAAATCGCACAAAACTGGTGTCATTCGTTTGTGTTCAAATAGTGCTGGTTTGTGTCGTTAAAACACACTGTATGTGTTTTCCTCGTTTAGATATAAGCAAATTATTTTGGAGTCGTGACGTCACCCCATTTTTTCTAAATCACACAAAAGTGGTGTCATTCGTTTGTGCCGTTAAAATAAACACTATCTATTTAGATTTTTTACGCCAAGGCTTCCAAAATATTTTGCTTATATCTAAACGAGAAAAACAGATACAGTGTTTGTTTCAACGACACAAACCAAGGTTTAGGGACTTAGCCGAAGGAAAATTAATGAATGAACTGAATAGTTTTACTTTTTGGGCAAATTAAGGATTAAGGTCTCGTTTCTGGATCAAAACAGTTATCAGAGCCACGGTCACTTAAAGGGTTAGTACTTGCAAAAATTACAAATTGTCTTTTAATTGCTCTCTCTCTCTTATGATAGCATGAAGACATTCTAAATATACTCATGGAGGATGATCTTTACGTAACATGTTATCAATCTTTGGCAAAAAAAAAAAAAGACTATTTTATATATGTAACATTTATTTCATTTGGATCCCAGAGAAAATGACAGCATTGGAAACTTCCATAAATGATGTCAAACTGCAACACTGACTGCAATCCATTTCTGAGCTAATCAGGACTGCGCACAGACTCTGAATAAATCTTCAATATATCAGGACACAGAGACGGCGAGTCCCTTAGTGTAATTTTCTGCTAGATTGCACACTTATAATTACTCTGAGATCAGCTGTACTGATGAGAGTATATGAGCATCGATCTGTCTGCTGACAGTCTGCACAATAAACACACTCAGAATATGAAATAATCCCAATAAAGACAATCGGCAGGCTTCAAATGGGTTGCATGCGATTACATTCACAAACCCTCAGCTTCATGAAAACACATTTACTTCAAATAAACATACATTTGAAAGCAGGTCCTATTATTTATTTGGAGGGAAACGGTGATTCAATTTTCCAAAAAGCTTAAATAAGATAATCACAAATAAGTAAAATACTTTAAATAACTACATATTTAAAAATTTTAATTAATAATTTAAACTGGTCACTTTAAGGTCTCCTTGTTAAAGTGTAGCTAATCATTTAACTACTGGGTGATATTAATTAATTCCATGTTTGTAGTATATGGTTAGGGGTTAGTTGCAAGTAATTATGCATAATTAATTGTAATTACTATAGTGAGTTTACAGAATGTGTAACAAAGGCATTATTTATTAATTATTTTAAAAAGACATTATTTGTAACAATCATTCATTTTCTTTTTAGCTTAGTCCCTTTATTAATCAGGTGTCGCCACAGGGGAATGAACCGCCAACTTATCCAGCATAAGTATTACACAGCGAATGCCCTTACAGCTGCAACCCATCACTGGGAAGCACCCATACACACATACACTACGAACAAACTTACTCAATTCACCTAAAGTGCATTTCTTTGGACCTGAGAAGGAAACCGTGCCATCACGGGGAGAATATACAAACTCCACACAGAAATGCCAACTGACCCACCCGGGACCCGAACCAATTACCTTCTTACTGTGAGGCGACAGCAATACCCACTTTGCCACCCCATTATTTGTAACTGTCATGAAAAAAATTACTTGTTTAGATGATATGCTGTGTACAGTTTAAAATGAATTTTATGATTTTAAATAATATTTATAATTAATTAAATATTTACTTTATTTATTCATAATTAATACGTTTTGCACTTTTAAAAAAGAATTAATAGTGACTTTGTCCTTTTTTATACCTGAATAAAGTCAATGATTCTAAGTTCGAAAAAACAATTCAAACTAAAATAATAATTTATATATATTTTTAAATAATATAAATGATAAATAATATACATGAGCGATATCACACTTGTAGCAGTGTGGGATGGCTGTATATCGGCACAGGTGGAAGGTGTGTATTGGCTCCAGGCTGAGTGCCTTATAGTGTCCCACCAGTGATGATATACAGCCACATCGCACTGCTACAAGGTGTATTTATACAACGGTTCGACGGCATAAACGTTTATATAAAAAAGAAAATCAAACACAAAGTCTTTAAAACCCTTTTGTATGAGGAACTACTTTCTTCCGCCATTCATTCACATCTGCAGCTGATGTCAGAACAGCAGAAGCCATTATACACCAACGTTACTTTAGAGCTTGCGTTTGAATGATTCTCTAGCGTAATGTCTAAAGTGATGACAAAACAGGTGATTTTGCTCACATTTTTACTCACAAGATTATAGGGCTGAACGACATGAAATGCCATCAGTCTACAGAGATTTCCCAGCATTTCTCTGTTGCAATCAGGAGATCACAACTCTAGCAAATTACTTTGGTATAAATACAGCACTACAACATAAAAAAGAGAGATCGATTTAAGAGTTACTTACCAGTTCTGTAAAGATTTTCTTCAGCTGTAGTTTGAAGTGTATGCTGTAAAATGCGGTATTATGTAGTCTCTGTCGCCATCTTGTGGCAGAACGTCAACCACCTTTGCTTTGCTAAGTACGACAGGCTGATGGCCGCCAACACACTGAATCTCCGATCTTATAAATATTTTTAAATAGCACTGTACTTATAAACTGCATAGTTGCAATCTAAACAAGTACATTTTCACCTAAAAAGCCTCAAAAGTACATTATCGCCCAACAGCTGCAATATTTGTTAAACTGCAGTCCCCTATATATATATATATATATATATATATATATATATATATATATACATATATACATATATATATATACATATATATATATATATATATACATACACACACACACATACATATAAATATATATATATATATACACACACACACACACACACACATATATATACATACATATATATACACATATATATACACACACACACACACATATATATATATATACACACACACACACATATATATACACACACACACACACATATATATATATATATATATATATACATTCATATATATATATATATATATATATATACACACACACACACACACATATATATATATATATATACATTCATATATATATATATATATATATATATATATTTATATATATATATCACCATCATCACTGGTGGGACACTATAAAACACTCAGCCTGTAAGCCTGTAGCCAACGCACACCTTCCACCTGTGCCGCAATACAGCCATCCCACACTGCTACAAGTGTGATATCGCTCATGTATATTATTTATCATTTATATTATTTAAAAATATATATAAATTATTATTTTAGTTTGAATTGTTTTTCAGACATATGGTGCGGCAGAGCTCCTGGGTGTCCTGACTTTGAATCCTGGCTAGTGGACCTTTCCCGATCCTACCCCCCCCCCCCTCTCTCTCTCTCTCTCTCTCTCTCTCTCTCTCTCTCTCTCACTTCACTTCTTGTCAACTTCAACTTCCTGTCAAATAAGGGCAAAAATGCCAAAAATAAACCATTAAAAAATGATCACCTGCCAATTATTAGGATATTAACTGTTTATTAGCACTTATAAAGTATGGTCTTATTCTACATCCCTAATCCTATCCAATACCCAACTACATTAGTAACAACGAAGCAGCAAATTAGTAGTTTATTCAGCTTATAGTCCTAGTTAATGGTTTGTTAATAGCGCGAATTGCAGATTAAAACAAAGCATGACCAATCAGACTTTGAATAAATGATGTAGAATCATGGGAAACCAAGCGTTCATCCTTGAGCAGGGAATGCTTTAATACTGATCTACAGTATATGAACATTAGCACACACAGAGACCTTTACATTCCTGCTCCTCAAAGCTCGCACATTGGCCAAAAACAAACAACAGAATGAAACAAATGTGGCATGTTTGGCGTGTTTACAGATCACAAAAAGAGACAAACATGACACACTCCTCGTTCATGTCAACATAGCGATTCATTCGGAGTGCAAACATGATTAAAAATACGACATGTTCCCAAAAACAAACACCAGAAAGGAAGTGATGTCACGTTTTCTTCCTGTCTCAGCGACGCTCTGCTGAGATAATAGCATCTCCAATCATCAGCGATTGTTGGTAAGAGGCATTGAAGTGTTTATCCAACAATGGTGTAATCTTCTTTACCTCGTGACGGTCAGAAACGACAGTCGTCAGTAGTAAGTGTGTGTGTGTGTGTGTCGCCTCCTCGAATAGTTAATTCCATCTAAACTAAGCCAATTCAGTCAATTAATCCTATTCATTACTTAAACTCTGCTCAGAAACGTGTGCGTTTCGCTGAATTTCAAGTCATACACGCTGGAAATAAACAGGATGGACCTCAAACCTTCGTATATATAGGCATTATTAAAACACAAGTGTGTTCAGTCATGTAAATAATAAATCTTCTCAGCTTTTCATAGACGTAGGATTGTTTCTGTGAGAGTGTAAACGGCTGACATTCATTATTAGAGCATGATATTTGGACAATTTTTAGAAATTAAAAAAAAAATAGTTAAATGGTAAAAAAAACGTCTATCATGATAAACAAATCTGATAAACAAATATCAAATAATAAAGGGAGACAGTAATTTGGGCTGATCTAATCTGCTAAAACATTTGTAGGTCTTCATAGGTGGAAATATTTTAAAAAGTATTTTTCATTAAAAAATAATCATACAATTCAACAACAACAAAAAACATTTAGCAAATGTCCGCTGAGGTTTTGATGTCGTTTATCATCCCCTCTGAGTTATAGGGTGAAAACAAGAAAGAGGTGTCGTTCTGTAGGTTTAGCACAACTTTGATGAAATGCTTTGAACCACTTCAGATGTTGACTACCGTATATCGAAATGTAAAAGGGTGACATTTTACAATAAAGTTCTGTTGGTTAATGCATTTACTAGCATGAAGAAATGATAAATAATACATTTATTGCAGTATTTATTCATCTTTGTTAACATTAGTTAATAAAAAGCCATTGTTAGTTCATGTGAACTCAGAGCGCATTAGCTAATGTCATCAAGCACAACTTTGGGTTTTAATAATGCATTAGTAAACGTATGATTAATAATGCTGTACAAGTATATTGTTAGATATTAGTTCATATTAGTAAATAGATTAACTACTGAAACTTTATTGTAAAGTGTGAATTTAAAAATAAAGCCTATTACCAGAATAGCTTTTGTAGAAGCATTTTCATGACAGATAAACACTTTTATATCCCAAACACTCATTACAGTAATGTGAAAAAGTTTATTGAATATGAATAATTCATTCAAATGTGCTTAACTAACATGAAAATGTCACAAAAACCAAACGTTAACACTTTAAAATAATGGTCTATTAGCTAATGTTAGTTCAGGTTTTACTAACATGAACAAACTATGAATAATACATTTATTATAGTATTTATTCATGTTTGTTAACGTTAGTACATGATAACTTAGTGCATTAGCTAATGTTTGGGATTTAATAATGCATTAGCTAATGTTCAACTACGATTAATAAACGTTTAATTCATTCATTATTAGTTCATGTTAGTAAATCCATTAACTAATAAAACTTTACTGTAAAGTGTGACCTCAAAATAAAGCCTGTTTTCAGAATAATTTGTTGCAAAATTTTATGACAATTAACACCTTCATATCCTAAATTCTCATTACATTAATGTGAAAATAACAGCATATAAATAATTAATTTTCAAAAAATGTCTTCAAAATTGTGCTTAATTGACATGAAAATGTCTCAAAAAACAAACGTTAACACTTTAAAATAAAGGTCCATTAGTTAATGTCAGTTCATGCATTTACTAACATGAACAAACTATGAATAATACATTTATTAAAGTATTTATTCATGTTTGTTAATGTTAGTTTGTGTTATTAAAGTTAATTCACGTTAATACATGTTAACTTACAGTGCATTAGCTAATGTTTGGGATTTAATAATGCATTAGTAAATGTTAAAGTTTGATTAATAAACGCTTCGTTCATTTGTTATTAATTCATGTTAGTAAATCTATTAACTAATGAAACTTTACTGTAAAGTGTGACCTCAAATTAAAGCCTATTTTCAGAATAGTTTTGGTTGCATCATTTTCATGACAATTTAACACTTTTATATCCCAAATTCTCATTTCAGTAATGTGAAAAAAAAGGAGTATAAATAATTTATTTTTAAAAAATGTGTTACAAAATGTGCTTAATTAACATGAAAATATCCCCAAAAAAACTAAACGGTAACACTTTATAAAAAATAAAAAAAAAGTCCATTAGTCAATATTAGTTCATGTATTTACTAACATGAACAAACTATGAATAATACATTTATTATAGTATTTATTCATGTTTGTTAATGTGAGTCTGTGTTATTAAAGGGAATTCACATTACTACATTAACTTACGGTGCATTAGCTAATGTTTGGGATTTAATAATGCATTAATAAATGTTAAAGTATGATTGATAAACACTCAGTTTACTTATTGTTGGTTCATGTTAGTAAATCCCTTGACTAATGAAACTTTACTGTAAAGTGTGACCTCAAAATAAAGCCTATTTTCAGAATAGTTCTGTTGCAGCATTTTCATGCCAATTAAACACTTTTATATCCCAAATTCTCATTATAATAATGTGAAAAAAGCTTATTGAAAAAATTATTCATTTTCCAAAAAAATGTGCTTAATTAACATGAGAATGTCACAAAACACACAACGCTGACACTTTAAAATAATGCTCCATTACTTAATGTTAGTTCATGCATTTACTAACATGAACAAACTATGAATAATACATTTATTAAAGTATTTATTCATGTTTGTTAATGTTAGTTTGTGTTATTAAAGTTAATTCACGTTAATACATGTTAACAGTGCATTAGCTAATGCTTGGGATTTAATAATGCATTAGTAAATGTTGAAGTTTGATTAATAAACGCTTCGTTCATTTGTTATTAGTTCATGTTAGTAAATCTATTAACTAATAAAACTTTACTGTAAAGTGTGACCTCAAATTAAAGCCTATTTTCAGAATAGTTTTGGTTGCATCATTTTCATGACAATTTAACACTTTTATATCGCAAATTCTCATTTCAGTAATGTGAAAAAAAAGGAGTATAAATAATTTATTTTTTTAAAATGTGTTACAAAATGTGCTTAATTAACATGAAAATGTCCCCAAAAAAACTAAACAGTAACACCTTATAAAAAAAAAAAGTCCATTAGTCAATGTTAGTTCATGTATTTACTAACATGAACAAACTATGAATAATACATTTATTAAGGTATTTATTCATGTTTGTTAATGTTAGTTTGTGTTATTAAAGGGAATTCACGTTACTACATTAACTTACGGTGCATTAGCTAATGTTTGGGATTTAATAATGCATTAGTAAATGTTAAAGTATGATTGATAAACACTCAGTTTACTTATTGTTGGTTCATGTTAGTAAATCCCTTGACTAATGAAACTTTACTGTAAAGTGTGACCACAAAATAAAGCCTATTTTCAGAATAGTTCTGTTGTAACATTTCCATGCTAATTAAACACTTTTATATCCCAAATTCTCATTATAATAATGTGAAAAAAGCTTATTGAAAAAACAATTCATTTTCCAAAAAATGTGCTTAATTAACATGAAAATGTCACAAAAAACACAACGATGACACTTCAAAATAATGCTCCATTACTTAATGTTAGTTCATGTATTTACTAACATGAACAAACTATAAATACATTTATTACAGTATTTATTCATGTTTGTTAACGTTAGTTAATATTATTGAAGTTAATTCACGTTAGTATGTTAACTTGGTGCATAAGCTAATGTAACAAGCACAACTTTGGATGTTAATAATGTATTAGTAAATGCTGAACTATGATTAATGAATGCTTTACAATAATATTCATAATGTAATAAACGCATTAACTAATGGACCATTATTTTAACGTATTACCGACAAAACCACAACATTTTAAAGGTGCTAAAAACCCACCCTGATTTTCAGTTAACTTCTTTTAACTCACACTTTACAACGCAAGACTCTTAGCTGAAGTTACAAACCATAACTGATACTTGCATTCATTAATCATAGTTCAACATTAAATAGTGCATTATTAAAACCCAAAGATTAGTTAACGATAATGCAGTTAACAAGAGCTAACAATAGATTACCATATTTCCATTACCTAGCATTATCAAAACTGTGTTGTTTATTGTCCGTCCATGTTAGTAAACGAATTAACCACATGTCCGGTATTGTAAAGCGTTCGGTTTTCGTTACGTTTACCGTCATCCTATTTAAATCAGAATTTCTTGCAAATTCTGATTACCAAATTGACTTGTTGGGAGAAATACGCGAATTATTTTTGTTAACTGTGGCGGTGAAATGTGTCGGCAGTGAGGCAGCTCTAGAGTCAGTGTTTGTTTGATACCGTCCCGTCATCTTTTTCTACATCTGCTTCTCTATCGCCTCAGTGCTGCCCTCTGTTGACGGGGAGGATAAACAGATCGGATCGCAGTTTCTGTTCTGGTAGAGTTCAGTTAAAGCCCAGTCCGGCTCCTTTCGGCCTCTGAGACGCTCGGATTGGCTCCGTGATGCCTCTGCCTTCGGGGCCCAGGCCGGTTCCTGGGGTCCAGCCCATACTCTGCAGCATCCGGTTGCCCAGGTTTGAGTCGGGCAGAGGAGCAGCGCTTTCGCCAACCACACCTGAGACACACACACACACACACACACACACACAGAGTGAGAGAAACAGAGAGAGACAGGGATAATCTGTCTGAGTTAAGCGGAAAAGCTCACTGATTCCTCTAATGCACTTTCTGGGTTGAAAGGGTCCACAAGATAGAACTTCAGGTTCTGTTACCAGTGATCCAATCACAAGTGATCAGACATTGTTTCCACGGAGTACACTGGACAAAAAGTATTGCTGCATAAAAGTTTTTTTAGTTGAATCAAATGAACTTTTCTAGTCATTTCAACTCGCATCAGTCAAACTGGCCAAAAATATTAAGTTAAACTTTGCATAACTAAAAATATTCAGTTGAAACCCAATTTAACAGATTAAAATGAGTAAAGGTAACAAAGTAATATTTTTTACAGTGTATTAATAATCACTGTAGGACAAATTACTTCGAAAAAGTAATTAATTGTTTAATTTGTTTGACATTTTTTTTATTTAGCAATCTTTGGATGTTACCAAGCTATGTCAAATGATGTATTCCCTCACTGGTAACTTTGATATATCTAAAAAAAAAATGTGATTCAAGATGATATTGTTTGTATATTATATATTTTAATATTTGTTTTATTGAGATGTAGCTCTTTAAGGCTGGATTTATACTTCTGCGTCAAACGCCGGCGTATACGCATAGCCCTTCGACATGGCCGTCGGCGTCGCTGACGTGCACCTCTCAAAAAAATGTAACTACCTGTCGCAACGGTCGTCGGCTTGGTATCGCTGACGAGTCTGGGCGGGACCGAGAGCCGTGTGAATGGTGCGAGCCTGATGGAGCGATTGTTTATAAGTGTGGAGTCCCGCGAAGGAGCTCCGGATGGAAAGTTTTGTTTTGTGTTTACCTCATAGTTAAAGTTGTTGCACGTTCGCCGGTTCCTGCCTCAAAATGAGCGAGTTTGAGCCACTTGTACATCCCAGAAGTGTTCAGGAAAACCAAAACAGCAGAAGAAACTCGACACAGAGGAACATTAATACCTCACTGCCAACTAGCGTTTCGGAAGTGTTAATGCAGACCAACAGAGACAGCGCGCAGAAGTATAAATGCACAGCTACACGCGTTGCATGCGCCGTGGGGTACGCCGGTCACTTGACGCAGAAGTTTAAACCAGGCTTTAGTATAATCCCTTTTTCTTTGGATGTTGCCAAGCCTCTCATGTTAAATGGTAACATATAGGCTGAACAAATATGGGACAGTTTGTTCCCTCACTGTCTATGATATAGATTTTATTATTAGTTTCCTTTTTGGTTTTTTTACTTTTACTTTTTTTAATGTGTGTATATGCGTGTAGGTATGTATATATGTCTATAAGTGTATGGATGTATACCCTTTTTGTTTTTCTCTCTCTTTCAATGCCGTGGCTATGGTATGGTAGGGCTAATGTACTGCATTAAGCTGTAAATGCAAAAGTCAATAAATAAATATATAAAAGTATTTAAGACAACGAACTCATCCGAAAATTCATATTGTAAGTTGAATGCATGGAAGGAAGATTTGCAGTCCGAATTTTCGGATGAAGAATGGGAAAAAACCTGCACTAAAGCTTACACTGTCTATAAATTCACGCCTTAAATTTATACAATATATAAATGGATAATGTGAACATATGTAACACCAGTAAAATTTACATTTAGTCATTTAGCAGACGCTTTTATCCAAAGCGACTTACAAATAAGGACAAGGAAGCACGTTACTAAACTATAAGAGCAACAATGAACAAGTGTTGTAGGCAAGTTTCAGGTGTGTAAAGTGTAAGAAGCAAAACATTAGTAATTTTTTTTTTTCTGTAACACAGCAGTGGAGCCAGAGAGGCAATTGCAGATTAAAAATTAAATCAGTATAATAAAAACATACCAGATATATGTACAAAATGTTTGGAAGCTAGAGGAACCTTGTTTCACTGTGTTTGGCAGTGCACAAAAACTAAATTATTTTGGGAAGAGGTGAGAGTCATAAGTGAAAAAATTATTCAATTATCATATTATATAATCATATTGCTATGGACAAAGACACAAAGACCAAACGCTACTCAATTGATAAGACAAATGTTGTCAAGTCTGCCATTAGAAAAAATAACTTGTATACTAAAAGCTAAACAGCGTGTATTAGAAAACATATGGAGTCCTTTCATTAGTTATATCAAAGAAGTGGAATTACCAGAGGAAGAAGTTGATGAATAATTTGTGATGGATAATGCAGTTCCAGCTTTATAGTTCTGTATTGATACATTCTTTAATACATATTTGCTGTACCTAGTACTTAGTATGATTATAATTGTCATGTTTGAATAGATTACCATTAATGACAAGAAGAGGAGCAGTTTTACTTTTATTTTATTTATTTATTTATTTTTGTTGTTTGTTTGTTCGTTTGCTTTTAGTTATATACACTACCAATCAAAATTTGCGGCCAGTTTTTTTATTGTTTTTTTTATTTTTTATTATTCTGTTCATCAAGGCAGCATTTATTAAATGTAAGAAAATGTTAAATATTTATTCAAATGTTAAATAACTGCTTTCTTATTGTGTGTAGTTTCAAATGAAATTATTACTCAAGTCATGATTGCTTTTTTTACTATTACCATTAATAAGAATAATATTAACAATAATAATTAGAATTTTCTCAGAGATGGGGCTGGAAGGGCATCCACTGCGTAAAAACTTGCTTGATAAGTTGGCGGTTCATTCCCTTGTGGCGACCCCGGATTAACAAAGGGACTTTGCCGACAAGAAAATGAATGAATGAATGAATGATACATATATCCTCATATTTTGCAATATTTTGAATGCAACAAGGTTATTATTGTTGTAAAATGTTTGTAAAATGTTGTATTTCAATGTGTACAAACTGCAAACGAAAAATAAAAATATAATGGAAAAAATAAATAAAAGTATTTAATCAGGTAGAGCGTGAGTGTAAGATGATCGAATTCTCCTTTTCGAGTGATCTCTCCTAAAGCATTACAGAATAAATCAGTGCTTTTGAATGGGATTGCAGTGAAAGTCTCGTATCTGAGCACTTTAAGGTCCTGAGCAGCTGCTGTGGTGGTCATGGAGGAGTTTAGTGCATGAGACTGATTCCTGTGACGCTACAGGGACAGACAAGTTTTCGCTAAGGTCCAGCTTCCAGCCTCCGCCTCCTTGACTGCAGCTCTGCACAAGATGTTTGGCCAGATGAGAAATGGTCGTGCCCAACTGAGCCTGGTTTCTCTCAACTTTTTTTAATTCTTCACTTTCGTCAATTGGTGAAGTTTTTTTTCTCGCCGCTGTCGCCACTGGCTTGCTTAGTTCGGGATCTGTAGAGCTGTGCATCAATGGATTGCTCTTCAGTGTTTGGACTCTCTGTAGTGATTATTAAACCACACTGAACTGAGCTAAACTGAACTTTAACTCTAAAAACTGAACTATACTACACTACACTGTTTCAAGTACACTGAACTATACTACACTGTTTCAATTTACCATGATCTTCTATGTGAAGCTGCTTTGACACAATCTACATTGTAAAAGCACTATACAAATAAAGGTGAATTGAATAATCCTGATGTTGCATGTCTTGTTTTCTGCTCCTCCAAAACTCCAAATGCTTTCTGAGAAATGCGTAATCTCAGCCGGTGGCCTCTGACCCCTGAGACCCGCAGCATGTGCTTGAATCGCAGCTCAGGGCAGGAAATGATGGACTTCAGTGAGGAAATGCGATCAGCTCTGATCTGCCGCTCAGCTGCCAATCCTGTTACGTAATCAGTGCTGAGTTCAGCGCTAGAGCGTATGAGCGCTACGAGAATTAGCTGGACACATGGGTCGCTTGTTTCCATGCAGCATCTGCGCTCAAGACCTCATTTACATCACATCTGCTGCATTATTATTTATCGTTTATTTAGTATTCACTACTTTATTACTTCAAGATGACGGTTTTTAAAACCCTGCCTGTTTTACAATACAGAATTATGTATGAATTACAGAATTACGCATGAGAAAAATGTGTAATCTTGTAACTTATGAAATTTGAAAGCTTGCATTAACAAAGGAAAAAAGGAGATAGAAGGAAAGAAAGATACAGAATATACAGTCTGTCCAATATGTAATATATCATGAAAGCATATGTTGAGCATATGTTGTGTGTGTGTATGTGTGTGATAACTTGTTCCTTCATCAGGGTTCTTACACCTATTTCAACTTTAAATTTCAGCACTTTTTAAGCACTTTCAAGTTGCATTTTTTATGGTTTTCCAGCACCTAACAACCACTGTAAATTACATTAATATATGTTGTATGAACTTACACATTTAAATCCATTGTAATATAAAAAAAATAAATAAATATATATATATAAATATATATAAATATATTTAAATATATATATATGTATATATATATATATATGTATATATATATATATATATATATATATATATATATATATATATATATGTATGATATTTCAACTTAAATTGTTAAATACTTTAGAGCATAGATTTATTGAAATAGTTCACCCCCTAATAAATAAATAATAATAATAATAATAAATAAGTTCAGTTATTTGATTTAAGTTTGGTCTCTTTCTACCTGAAATTTATATTTCAAATTCTGGGTGAATGTCTCCTACATACATATGGAGCTAATAATATGTCAAAATATTCTGAATTTGAATTGTGTTCATTTGAATTATTAACAATTTTAAGTTAATAAAACTGATTATTATATGCCATTTAAAAATGTTTATGAATTTTAATTTCTTGACTCTTTATCCCTCAAAACACTGAAAGCTTAATTAAGTTTGATTAACCAATGAGATGTAATTAAATTAAATATATGAATTTCACTGAAGCATGTATGTTAACTTCTGAATATAGCTGACCCCCAATAGTCAATTTGCAGAAGACTTGTGTCCTCCTGAGCCAAACAAATGCCAGCAAACTTACGCAGCTCTATGACTGGCCAAAAAGCTTAGTTTGGCTTCTCTGTGATGATCTACTCTTACCTGTTTATCACCCCTGACCTACTTTCTGCGCAATCTGAATTTCACAATCTGAATTTCTGGTTTTGAATTCTAGAATATTGAATTTAATGTTCTGAATTTCTTCGTCTTGAAAACTTGAAACTGTATTATTACAAACCCAATATCTGCAGTCTAGGAATTCAGAACCAAAAAAATCTTAAGTTTGAAAATGCGTCTAAAAAAATTAAGTTGTCTTAAATTTCAGATCTTCAATATTCAAGTTTTTAAACTCAAATACATAATTATAAGCATGCGGTGAACATTTTGCAGTGAAAACTGGTCGCATAACAAAAATGTATGCACTCGCTCAAATGCTCCCAAATATATTTCGAGTTGACATAGATACAATTTCAGGCACATATGCAACCAAAACAATCGCAATTTTGAGCCCTTCACGTAGGTTCAAGCACTTTGTCCAAAATCCAAGCATATTTCTAACCTTGAAAACACTATATTAAAAACTCAAGCATTTTTAAGGATTTCCTGCACCCGTAAGAACCCTGCTTCATCAATAAAATCAAGTAATGTGTGTGTTATCAGGGTGTCTGCAGGTTTCACAAAGTTAAATTTAAGACTTTAAGACATTTTTAAGACTATTATGAATGAAATTTTAGACTTATAAAGGGCTAAAGGCTAGGAAATTCATCAAATGGCCCATATGGAAAAGATTTTTATTTGCTTAATCAAATAATAATATTATAATTTAATACATTTAATAATTCGATAATAAATTAATAATAAAAAATGTAAATATTTTAGGCATTTCTGAGCAAAGTATTTTAAATATTGTGTCAAAACAAGCAAGCTCTACTTGTCTCCATTCACTTTTTTCCCAACAAAAGATTTTTTTTAAATAATAAAATAATGAACAAATGTTTTAAAAGTTATAAAAACTATAATTAATTTATTTATGCACAACAATCTGTCCAGGGTGTACGTTTCCGAAAACCATCGTTAGCCAACCAAAGTCGCAAGTTCTGGCGTTACAAACATAGTTTATTAATTTGACGTTTTCCAAATCCATCATTCCAACAAACATTCGCAAACTGCATCGCAAACTTGTGCACTTGCGACTACACCTCTGGGGCTGTAGTTAGAAACATAGTTCCTGGCTGTGTTCTATTGCCAGTTATATCCCCCCTATGCCATATTCATTTAGAATATTCTAACATATAAACTTGGAGTGAATAATAAAAAAAGCATTAAGGTCTTCTCTCTTGTAATTTGCTTCCAACGTATTTTTACAGTTCAGTTTTAGCAACTTCATGTTTACTACTGCACTCCCTTCGCAGTGCACTTTGAAAACATTGATTTCATTTTGAACACGTAATGAAACGTGTCTCCAAAGCTAGTATATTTTTTTTAAAGTCATTGCTCCAAAGCTTGTGAAAACAAAGAACGTAGCATACGTTAACACTTTTCATTTATAGTAGGTTATTTATTAAGAAATGTATCTTACTGTTTGTGACATTGGCCTGTTGGTTAGAACATTTCTGCAGTGGTTTGCATGTTTCAAATTGTAAACATGTAGACTTTTCAAAAAATCTAAATGAATAAACAATATCCTACTTAATAAAAATGATAATTGTCATCATCAATAATATTATAATTAAAGTAGGATTTTTTTCATATCCTAATAAAAATAAATATTACATTTAATTTCTTAATAAATAGTCTCATTATTTATTTATTTATATGATATAAATATATAAATATAAATATATATATATATATATATATATATATATATATAAATAATATATATATAAATAATATATATATATATATATATATATATATATATATATATATATATATATATAAATAAAGAGATTAGAATACATGTTTGCTTTTGTAAGTGATTTTATGTTTTATAATAGAATATGTAATGTTGTCAATAATATCTGTAAAGGAAAAGCAGGTCCTTTATGTGCCATTTACATGTATTTCAAATAATATGGAAAGTGAGTGCATGTTTTTACCAAAACTAATATTGGATTTTATTTCAAACGCATGTAAAACTATATAATTCACACACAAAAAATGATAGGGTTCTTCTCTAAAGATGTTGTTACTCTGCCCTGTTTAGAGCATCATCAAGGGCGTTTTACGTTATACTTAACGTGGTTCAAGCGATGGATCTGCGATAGAGAAACTATCTGGTTTTGGGAAACACTTGTCACGTTCATCGTTCTTCAGCGCCGAGTTACGTCGTTGTTTGGGAAGCACATCCCAGGGCGGTGTCACCAGCAGTAAATACACGGAGCACTTATAAACAATGTAATTTTTAAGGAAAATAACTATGATAAATAAAGTTATAATAATACCATAATGATAAATAGTAAAAAATGACCTTTTCAATTAAAAAGTTTAAAGTTTTATTACATAGATGGACTGTTTTCCATTACATTCCACTAGGGTTTTGGTCATGTTGGGCAGAAACACATGAACAAAGGAAAATTAAGACGCTTAAAAAAAGATTTAAGACCTACAAAACATTATTTCAGTAAATTTAAGACTTTTTAAAGGTTAAAGTTCTGTATTTGGAATTTAAAACATTTCAAGACTTTTTAAGACCCCACAGTTACCTGAAGATGATTGTGCTCCTACAGGCGCAGCTTTCCGTCGTCTTTTTATATCTCCAGTACACAAAGAGCCAAGATGACCACTTGTTTGCCTGCAGAGAAAGAGTGGAATTTAAGATGGGTAATGCTTTAGTAAAGTGCCCAAAATAAGCACACTCGCATACATACACACAAATAAATAAATAAGCTTTCCATCGATGTATATTTAGTCAGGATAGGACAATAGCTGTTCCCATCCAAAAATGTGAATTAACTTTATGCGCAAAACTGAATTATCGCATAAGACGTGCAAACTAAGCAGAGCTTTCATCCAAGGAGTCAAAGAGAACAAAATTGTCACTTCCTGGTTATCTGGCGATTTTCATTTTTAAATCAAAATCGATCGAAATTTATGCTCAATTTAGATTATCGAATCAAAAAATGGAATCGTGGATGCTGCCACGCCCCCATGTCACGTCAGCTTGGCTTGCCAAGCGGAAAAAAAACACACTTGTTGAAGTGCTTGTTTAACTGCAGACACAGGAGACCTGTCGACAGAGCTTAAACCCTTTTTCATCTTTCAATGAAGTGCCGGTGTGAAAGTATTTGGTATTTCCAGTGAGTTATGTTGATAACGTTCATGTTGTTGAAAAAAAAAAAACACAGTTTGCAAGCTCTGCTATGTATTAGGGTTGGGCCGATAGACAACACCGGCATCGCGATCTTCCGCCCCGCCCCTGTTGCAAATCCACTCGCGAAAAATACACACTCAGGCCCTGTTTACAGCAGACCCCAGAGCATTCTGAAGTCTCTCCTGGACACCTCCTTTCTCTGGTTCTCTCTTTTTCTGCTCCTTCTAAAGTCTCTGTGTTTTACACAATCTTTATACAGGTTATTTTCCACACCCCTAGGTGTCTTGTTTTAACTCTTGACCATTTTTGAAAAGGTTTCTAGTCTAAGGGGTCCTGCAATTCTTGGCTCTCGAGACTTCGAAATGCTCTGGGGTCTGCTCTGCTCTTTCTCGGCTTTATTATGGAGAATAAAGTCTATTTTCTGATATTCAAAACCTCCGGTCTGATCATTTCTAATTGATAAGAAGTCGAATTACGACACATAAAGCTTATAATGACAAAAAACAAAGAATGAGTAGTACAACTTAAAAGGGAAATGACATAGAAGAGCCTGTGATGCCATCTAGAGGCACATAAAGGCTAGCTCCTCTAATATATGTCTGTTTAACTGAACTTCAGTATTATTTTGTTTACATATTAAATGTAGATCTTTACCTGCTAGCTGTTTTTAAAGAGCAGCTTTTCCTGTGGCTTCTGTCACTGCGTGAATCCCAAAGTAACTTAAACACAAACAAACACATTGGACTGGTCAGAGGTTTATGACGGACCTGAAACTCAACAGCTAACAAAGCACAGATTAACTAAATAAACTTCCAAACACAGAAACAAATCTTACTTGGTCTCTTCTGGCACCAGAACTGAACCACGACCTACAGAAAGACGAACACATGGTCCGATAGATTTCGGACCATTTGACAGCATTAATTTATACATAATTTTATCTTATATATAAATATTTTATATACAAAAAACACGTATTTTCTATACATGTATATATTAATAGGGATGTCCATATTTATATACACAATAAATATACACATTGCACATTAAATTATGTAAATGCATTATGTAAATGCTTTTATTGTCAATGTGATCACTTGTGATTCAATATTAACTTTAATCTGGGTAATTTAGCATTCAGCGATTGATCATTTTATTATTAATTTCTTTGTAATTAAGCAAAAAATAAAGTGATTCATCATAAACAAATACATCAGACATTGTAAAAAAAATTAAATCAAACACTAAACTAAAATGGCTAAAGGTTCAATTCCAATCTGTATTTTCAGAGTGCTCCATATTTCATCTTTCTCAATGTAAAATATATAAATCAGTCCTGCCAAAAGAAAGCAGAACAAAGATACACACACACACACACACGTTTGTTTTTGTGAAAAGTGGGGACATTACATAGGTTTACATTCATTTTATACTGACTAAACCGTATATTATATTGCCCTCACCCCACCCCTAAACTCAACCATCACAGGAGACTGTGTGACATACTTCTCCGTGTACACACACACACACACACACACACACACACACACACACACACACACACACACACACACACACACATATATATATTAATAAATAACAGCAGCTCTGACGACTGACTTACTCGTGAGGATCCTGAGATAGTCTGGGTAATCTATCGGAAATTCCTTGAGAGCTTCCCTGTTGAAAAATATAATAAAGATCATTTGTTAATGCTGTGGAAAACTTCTCATGTTTCTTCTGTTCAATATTGCTGCTTTTTTTATCAAAACTACAAAAATCTGCAATACTGCAAAATATCATTGCAGTGTAGAAAAAAACTTTTCTATTTGAATAATTAAAATAATGATAAAAAAGTAAATGTATTCATGTGATGCACAGTTGAATTTTTAGCATCATTACTGCAGTCTTTAGTATGGCATGCTAGTTCAGAAATCTGCTAAATATGATGATTTGATAATCAAGTAACAATTTGAAATAGAATTTTATCTTAATATGTTGTAAACCATGATACATAAATATACATATATACAGTTGAACTCAGAATTATTAGCCCCATTTGAATTTCTTTTTTCTTTTTTAAATATTTCCCAAATGAGGTTTAACAGAGAAAAATCACATTTCAAGAACACATTTCAAAATCACACTATATTTTCTTCAAAAATCCATACATTATTTTCAACCCAACACAACATATTTTTTACACTCCACATGTCTTCAAACTTGTCCAACTCGTTCATTGACAAATAAAAATTAAAATCATGCCTTATTCTTGCTCTGATAAGCCCTTTAAAAATCAGTTCAACTTTATGATTGGTCTCATACAAAATCTTGTGCCTCCTACTCATGTATATGGCCATTTTTGCTTGTCCTAATATAAAATTTAACAGACGCCAGAGAGAGAGAGAGAGAGAAGCATTTTTATTTCAAACAATTCTGGTCTTTTGAATTACAAATACTGAATGCTTTTTAATTGACAGTAAACGGGAGCGTGCAAGCATCATATGACCTATACATGCGAGTGATCATCCTCTCATTCGGTATTCATCTGCTTTCTTTTGCTTGTGCGAACACAATTCGTTTTGTCAGTTGTGCTGCTTCTGGATTCTAAGATCACATTTGCACAAATATTGGGCCATCTTTATTGTCAAACCCTGCTTTTAAGAAAACTACAATTAAAAAATGATCTTTAACCAGCCAAAGTGGCTAGTGGGAGTGTTTGTCTAACGGCTGACGTCTAACATTCAGCATTTGGCGGGTTGACGGGTGTTAATGTCAAGCCCTATATATATATATATATATATATATATATATATATATATATATATATATATACACATTGGAGATGCCACGATTCTCAATATAATAATGAACCGTTCTGTACGACATCCACGGTTCAATACGCACTTGTGAATGGCGGTTTTCTTGGTATTGCGTTTTAATAATTTGCATGTGTTTTATATCTCCCAGATTTGACCGTGTGTCTGTAAGTCTATGAGCTGAGATGAGGAAACTCCTCCCCGCATGTAAATATACAATCACAATGCTCTAAAAGTTAGGGGGCGTTTGACCATCATTCCACACTTTAACATGGCAAGTGGCAGTAAAGTAAGGCTGAGGCAACAGCATAAGGAAGCGTGAGGCAACAGTACGAGGAAGCGACGGCGCCTTTCAAATCTGCGGTGTGAGGACATTTCGGTTTTGACGGTAAGTGTCATGCCAATAAAACAAAAAACGCTGAACAAAAAATAACTGTGTGCAAGGATTGTTTTACACGTATAACCATGACTGCACATCTGCCATCACCCAGCAATGTCACTGTCTGAAGGCAGGATAGCAGAGAAGGTAATAAAGTCCTCCAAATAGCAACAATCCCTCGCTGAATTCTTCCAGCAAACATACCCAACTGGTTCCGAGAGACACATAAAAATAACAAAGGTAGTGTAGGTGTTTATTGCTAAAGATTTGCAGCCTTTTTGGGTGATTGGAGATGAGGGCTTTTGTCATCTTATAAAAGCACTCAATCCGCTTTACATTTACGTACATTTTTTTTTCAGCTCCGAGATAATTAAGATGCTTTATTTATGTTTACTTAAGTACAAATGTGTTTATTTGAAATGGCCAATTTATCTTTATTAACTTCACATGTGTGTTTATTTTCAAACTGTAGGATTTTATGTGCTCCCCAGTTTGTACAATGTCTACCAGCAGCTGTGAGATTTCAGTGTTAATTTTTTTCATACAATACACTAGGAACTACTGTACTTTTCTTGGCTTTTAAGTAAAACAAAATGAATACTGCAATAAAAAGTTTTTAGTTTTTTCATTTTACTGTTCCTATTGCCTATAGAATAAAAAATGAAACGAACCGAAAACCGTGTTAAAAAACCGAGGTATGTATTGAACCATGGGCTAACTGTATTGTTGCATCCCTAAGATATATATATTTATATATCTGCATGTATGTACCAAGTAATGATATAAAAGTACATAAATACAAATGTTTCAGACAAGCATACATACTTGTGACTGTTCAAGACAGGTCTGTCGTGCGAGTCGTGCTTGAAACCCTGAAAAGCAAGACATTCACATCATAAACAAATAAATGCTCCACATTGCATTCAATAGTTTTCTGCAGGTATAAACAGCTTCAGAGCATTGACACCATTAGCAGATTCATAACTTCATAATGTTAGTGTGTCTTGTTCCCGTTTAGTATGTAAGGTGTTATAGTTTATACCAGTGGTCACCAAACTTGTTCCTGGAGGGCCAGTGTCCTACAGATTTTAGCTCCAACCCTAATCAAACACACCTGAACAAGCTAATCAAGGTCTTACTAGGTATACTTGAAACACCCAGGTGTGTTGAGGCAAGTTGGAGCTAAACCCTGCAGGGACACTGGCCCTCCAGGGGCCTGTTTCAGAAAGGAGGTTAATTGAAAACTCAGAGTATTTTAACCCTGAAATGAGAGAATCTCTGGGTTTTCCGTTTCAAAATGGCAGGTTTGTTAAACTCAAGATATCAGGGTAAGTCAAGCCTGTTTCTGAAAGAAAGGTAACTTTAACTCAGAGTCAGTTACCATGGTAACTTACTCTGTGAATCTAACCTGGTCCGGAGCAGGTTTTATGCTCTAAACTCTGAGTTTCTGTCTGTTTCCTCCCCTTTTTTAAAGATGAAGCGTATTTCTCGCCTTAGCCTTACGTTTTCACACACCTATTTTAGAGCTCGTTTTGGAGATGCCAATAAAAACAATTGATGGAAACGTCATGATTCACATAACTTTTGAAAATACGCATAATAAAACATGTGCATAACTGAGTAGGTTTAACTTTTATTTGATAAGAAAAGATGCACATAAACTACGAAGTGCACTTAACAAATTACAGTATGTACATTAAAAAAGGTTTGTTAGAGATGATGATGAAAATGTGTGTGAATGGACAAACCAGCAGGCTGAGCACACTGCAGAACATCTTAAATGTTGTTTTAGTCATTCTAAAATCCAAGTGTTTCAGTATTAGTGTACATAATTACCTCCGAGCGTCTGGAGCGTGTCAAGAGTCTGCGCATCTGGCTTCAAACGCCCCCACGTGTTCATTGTGTGTCAATTGTCTTCTGAGGCGCTACTACATTAATTAAATAAAAAAATAATTGACGCAGCTTCTTCTACCGCAGTAAATTCTGTTTTTAGTGTTGATATTTGGCGCCAGTTAATCAGGAAGTGACGATTGTGTTCTCTTTGACTCGTTGGATAAAAACGCTGCTTTATTCGCATCTTTTAGGCATTATTCCAGTTTTGCATACATTTATGTAATAGCCTATATTTTGATGAAAACACAGCTATTGCCTACATTTTTGTCACACACAGAACAAAGTCACGTACGAGGCTTGTCCTTTTTTCATAAATAATTAGCTTAACCTTCGACATGTACCGTTACTAGATTAATTGGATTATTCTGTCTAAAAAATCTTTTTAGTATTCCTTACCTTCTACATGTTATATTAACCTCTATCACTTGATCAATAAAAAGGCAGACACACAAGTGCACTGTTAAATCTATTAAAACTGATAAACGTGTATAAAAGTTTAGAAAAAAGTATAAACGTCACACATTACGTTACTTATTTTATTATACTTAAATGTTTAAATACTTTAAATTAAAAATTACGCATTTACTTGAGCAGCTGTTTTCCCAGGCTAACTGTCTCTGTTTCACTGATGGTTGCTTCTTTTTAAATATATACACTCATATTTGCTATAACTTTGCATAAGCAGATCAAGTTCTGCCGGAGAAAGAAATGGTGATCTCTTTTTTTAAGATGTTGCCACAGTCACTCGTAATGTCTGTGCTCTATTGATAATGCCTTTTTCTAGTCACGGTGCGCGCGCTTAACTATGAGTTGGTCTACTCAGGGTATCTGCACATTTTTTAACAGAAAATTTAAGACCTTTTAAGACCTTTTTAAGTCCTCTAAAATGAAAATTTAAGACTTGACCTAAAAAAAAAAAAAAAACAGGAAAATGTTCAGTGTGAACACAGAATGATGTGGTGAAGTATGGCGGCAAATCTATGGCGGCAAATCAATGGCAATATAAATCGAGCGCAGCGGTGATGTTTGCGCGCGAGGAGAAGTGAACCGTGAGCAGATTACTTGGTTGACTTGGTTTACTTGTTATCTCTAACGCTATTGGCTACTGTGCCTTTCCGGAAGTTAGCCGGGATTGGACGCAAGTTAAAAGATCATGCCGTTAAATATATATACAATTTGCAAGTCATAATCATAAGAAACTTTCTGAGAACTTTATGAACTTTATGAGGATTCAATCTCGAGAAACAGTCAAATAATATCCAAAATAATGACTTGCATTCTTGTAACATGACTTTCTGAACCCATTTGATTTGTCCGTGCAGCACTTGTCTGGTTTGTTGTATTTTACTTCATTATTAACCACAACAGCAGTGCTCATTTTCACTTGGGGATGATCTTTCTAGGAAATATTGTCTTCAGAAGAGTTTATTTGCGTTTTAGATCTTTATAGATAATTATAATTAATTTATCTTTATAGATAATTGTTAACATTGTTTGTAATATAGATCAGTGTAAAATATATATATCTATATATATTATATATATTTTTCAATCTCATTTTTAGTTAATGATTGAATAACCTGCATATAAAGACTTTAATCAAAAATGATTAGCCCAATTAAACATAAAAAATACAGTGACAGACATTCAGATGGGTTTTTATCGCCACCTATTGAGCAACAATTTAATTTCTACAGTCTTCGTTTGGCTTTACTCACTATCCATTACATCATTCCACTTCAGAGGCATACAAATACTACTTTCTATACGACAGGCCCACATCTTAAAGGTCACATATGCAGTTGAAGTCAAAATTAGTAGCCCACTTTTTTCTTGTTTTATTTCGGCAAGAATAAAAGCTGTTTTAATTTTTTAAAACCCATTTTAAGGTCCATATTATCACCCTCTTTAACCTATTTATTTTTTTCGAAAGTCTACAGAACAAACCATCGTTATACAATAACTTGCCCAATTACCCTGCCTAGTTAACCTAGTTAAGCCTTTAAATGTCACTTTAAGCTGTATAGAAGTGTCTTGAAGAATATCTAGTCAAATATTATTTACTGTCATCATGGCAAAGATAAAATAAATCAGTTATTAGAAATGAGTTATTAAAACTATAATGTTTAGAAATGTGTTGAAAAAAATCTTCTCTCCGTTAAATAAAAATTAGGATAAAAATAAACAGGGGGCTATTAATTCAGGCGGGCTAATAATTCTGACTTTAACTGTATAGTGGAATAACAGACTAATGGCAATATATTTACTATAAACCTTTGTACTTTATGCACTGCATGCATGTATAGCCTATTTTGTATACTATTGTCCATCCAATTTATTCTGACTTGTTCTTCACAGAAAATGAGTCAAGGACAATGAGTCTAAGAAAAAAAAAAGATTTTTATAAATTTGAACACGTTTAGTTTGAGTTCAGTTTAAATGTAGGTGCTAAACTTCATCAAATGGTTCAAAACACATTTAAAGTCTGAATTATTCGTCCTGATTTAATAGCCCATGTATATTTTCCTCAATTTCTGTTTAATGGAGAGATCTTTGGCCACATGGTATAACTCTCTCTTTCTCTCCCAAGTAATAAAGTTTGTTACAGAAATATATCTCATTATTTTGATATGTCATTATATGACTTGGTCATGATGGTAAGAATAGGCATTATTATGAGATTAATTATTACAAAAAATATCTCATTATTGAAAGTAAGTCTCCACCTATTATTACTGAGAAAGTAAGTCTATGTTTCACACTGTGACATTATGATAAGATTTCCTATATAATTTTATTTAACGGGGAAACTAGCTTACCTGCGTCCAATCCCGGCTAACTTCTGGAAAGGTAGAGTAGCCAATAGCGTTAGAGATAACAAGAAAACCAAGTCCCGCCCTAGGACTCACAAAAATCTAAACTGTTTCGCGCGAGCAGAGAGAAGAACCAGCGAGCGAGCGGAGAGAACTGATCGCGCGCGCGCTGTAGGCATGACCTCGCTCGCGAGAGCGTACATCGTGCGCACAGATGATAATGTGCACGCGCGGGACTTGTTTTCTCGCGCTGGATCAGTTGAGCGCGCGCGTGAAGATCCCGTTCCTTTGCGAGCTGTAGTTTTCTTGCGTGTAGACCTGGCTGTAATCTGCTCACGGTTCACTTCTCCTCACGCGCAAACATCACCGCTGCGCTCGATTTATATTGGCATTGATTTGCCGCCATAAGACGAGTCGGACATGATATTTAAGATCCCACATGAAATTTAAGACCTCCTGATGGAAAATTACAGAATTTAAGACATTTTCAGACCTTAAAAATCGAAAATTTTATTTAAGACATTTTAAGACTTTTTAAGGACCCGCGGGGACCCTGCTACTGAAACCGAAAACTCAAGGGTTTTTAATCTCTCGGTAAATCAACTCAGAGTTCAAGTTTAAACTCCGAGTTGTTTGAACCTCCTTACTTAAACAGGTCCCAGGACTGAGATTGGTGACCCTGGGTTTATACAGTTTGTGTCAACTAGCAATTATTGTGTTGTACAGCACTGCACTCTAGTGGACAAGATTGTAAACTCGTGATGTATTCACTTGTTAAAGGGATAGTTCACCTAAAAATGACAGATTACCCATCCTCCACTTGTTTCAAACTTGTTTAGCTTCTCTCTTCTGTTGAATACAAAAACCATATAATCTGACAAATGACTTTACCACTGGTATCCATATTATAAACAACAAATAGGAAGTCAATGAATGTTTTTATTCCAACATTCTGCAGCATATTTTCCTTTGTGTTCAACAGAAAAGAGAAACTCAAACAGGTCTGAAACAAGAGGAGGATGAGTAAATGATGATTTAGATGATGTTTTGGTTCTTTAATTCTGTGTCTCTGGTTACGCGTTTGAACACACACCTCTTTGGGCTCCCTGTGACATTAATGGAAATGCTCCGGTCAGGATGCTGTTAAATACGGGGTCGTTGAGATCCAGTTCATTGGAGTCTCTCTCCCACCAGGGCACAACACCGGCAATGCCACAAGCGCCGCCCGGCTCACCCTCGTAGAACCAGTCGCTCTGCTCATCGTCTCCTGAAATGACACACACACACACACACACACACACACGCTAGAAACGTAGAACTGTGCTCTCTATTTGATATGTATAGTGATCAGTTATACTATATATGAATCTACACACCTTGTCTTCCCTCGTCATTGGTGTACAGACCTCCGTCGCTGCTGTTGCTCACACTGCTCGTCTCGCTGCAAACACACACACACACCGCAGATTGTTTTAAGCCATTTGTGTGAAACAAAAGCGTCAATCTCAGACCCTAAAATATGAATCTAATTATTATTAATATTTTATAAATAATGCAACTCAGTATACCTCATTTTAAACATTTAAATCAGGGTAATTGGCTACATAGTCAAGCAAAACCCAAACCAAAAACAGATTCATAAAGTATTTAATACAGTTTTAATTTGCACTAAAAAAGTATATCTTCATGAATTTTTGAGTGTTATATATTTATGCATATTTAACTAATAAGCTAACTATTAAGCTATATACATATATATAAACAAATACATCAATTACAAAGAAAAAAAAACACAGTAAAATTTCTAAAACTGTAACCATTTAAAATGCTAAAAGGATAAAAATTAAAACTTGGTTAAACTAATATTAAATCATATAATAATATTAAACTAATATTAAAAATACATTTTTACTCAATCATACTACAGTAAACACCAATCCTAATGCTACCCCCTCCCCCTCCCAAAATTGTTTTTTTTAAGTGTTTTAAATTAGATTTTCAGTACATTCAGTATTTTCTGTGCTTTTTAAAATACATTTTATTTTATTTACATTTAATATATTAGTCAAGGAAATTTATTATTATTTTAATATAAATCAGCACCATTTTAAGGCGGTAAAAATATGACTGACATAAAATTCAAATATGCCAAATAATATGCCATTATTGTTTTCTTTTTGCTTTAACATCATGCGTTGTGCAACTAAAATAAAACCAAAAGTCTAGTCCTGACCAAAATTAAGTGCAAGTGTTTTTTTTCCCAGATTTTGAGTTAAAATATGACCAGGGTTAATGAGATTTACCCATATTAATGTGCTATGCTAATGTAGACTCTGATACTTTTGATCAAATAAATCAATAATATTGCATCTGGTATAAAATCTGTGCAACAGCAATAAAACCAAAAGTCTAGCCCTGACCAAAAATAAGAGCAAGTGTTAAAGGGGCAGTATGTAAGTTTGACACCTAGCGGTTGAACTCAGTATCGCATTCTTGAATTAAAACAAACTATAGCACAGGTTGCCAGATTAAGAACCAACAGGAACGAGTGACTACTGAGCCTAAAGTCTGATTTAAACCGTGTTCTAAATAAAAGCAACGGCATGCCATAGAAGAAATATTTTCCATAATAAAGGGAGTTTTTGTTCTAACCAACACATTGAATTAATATGTTAGAAACGGCTTCTATTTCTCACCAGTGAACAAAAAACTGACAATGATCACCTCATGTACTTTAATCAGTGTTAAATGCTACTATTAAATATTAAATGCTATTATAAGTGACATTTATTGCCATACTACTGAAAGCAGCAGCAGATAGTTCACCTCAGATCTTGAAAATAAAATAAACCGCTTGAAATTGAACTTTGGAACTAAACACACATCAGTAATTGAGCATGTACATTTAATAATATTAAAGAGGTTTAATATGTATTAATCAGATCATAAACCTTACCATATCATGAGTGCACTATTTTGTGCGTCTGAATGGCTGTATTTCAATTTCTGTCATGTTTCGTCTGGTACAAACAGCCAAATAGCTTATCACTATGCATGTCATCCTGTAGCATATTGTTAGGACACGGGGTTACAATGAAACCTGCCCACCTAATGTTTACTGTTGTGAGATTTATATTATTTGCTAATAAATAACCACATCATGTGGAACTCTGAATCTGCGTCTCATTTCAGAGTCTGCTACTGTCCACAGGAGGTTGCATTTTGGTTGCGAGCGCATGCTTTGAGAGCCTTCATGACTGAATGAATCAAATGCGCTTTTTTCTTCAAAGGCAACCAGGAGTGGTGAAATATGATTGGCTAAACTGGCAGTGGGTGGGTTAAAAGAACCAAAACAAAGGCCCCGTTTACACTGTCAGGTCTTGATGCCCAATTCCGATTTGCTGCCCATATCTGATTTGTCTGCCTGTCCATTTACACGTTGTTTTAATTATGACCCATATCCAATTCATGTGTTTACACTTGCCATACCATTTACGATGCTGCGCATGCATAAAGGCAGGTTCTAGCATCTGTGCCACACTAGCCACGATGGATTAAATTGTCTTGTTTTTAGCTCTGCGAAATATGCGAAGTGTAGTATAAGCAGTGAACGGTTCAGTCCAGATTTACCCCCAAGCAGTTAATGTAATGGTTTAGCCCTGATATGTGTGTGTAGTTGAAGATTTAGCCTTTGCCAATGTGTGCACTGGTGTTAGAGAGAATGAAGTTGTTCTATGTGTAGCCCGCAATGCGTGCACGAAGTTCGCCCAACTTTAAAATAAATTTTGAGGCGGAGGTGGGAAATCGCAGCTTGCACCTATGGTTTATATATGGTGTCCTCCACCATTCTGAGGAAATTGTGGGTAAGAGAGAGATCTCAGGTCTGGTGAAAGCAAATTGTGGCGACTGACTTCTTTCCTCCTCCATGTTTCCTCTGTTGTTGTTGTTCGTGTACCACAATGGTGTCTCCACACACTCTTTCTTCGATGTCTTTAAACCACAGAGAAGCACCACATTGTCGCAAGTATAGCAACATAAAAGGGAATGCCTCAATAAATCCCATCTGCCTGTTTACATGCCAGTCGCATTGTCACATTTCCGATTTATATCTGATTTATTTTCACATATAAAGGAGGCCTGAAACCGATCTCTGAATATTCGAATGCATGTGTTTTTTTCGTGTTTACATGGTCATAGAACAGATCCGCTCAGTGTCACTTATGAGCAAAAAAATCGGCATTGGGTCACAAACAACTGGCAGTGTAAACGGGGCCAATGACAGCCGTTCCAGCACAGAAAACACATTTTCAAAGCAGAATATCTGAATTCAGGGGTCCGTTCTTCGTACCTTGCTTAAATGATCTAAGATGATTTGGCAGATCCTGGATCTTTTAATCTCGATAACTGATCTCTCGCTAATTTGGTTCTACAAACAAGATTGCGAATTAAATTAGAATGTCTGGATGAACTGATCTGAGATCGCTGCTTGTGTTGTGAAGGACAGATCTATCGATCCTCGAAATCATGATCAGCAATGCAACGATTGGCTGACGGCACAGCAGCGTAATGACATCATCTGATTAATATTCAATTATCCATGTGGGCAAAATTAGATCAAATTAGCAGTAAACCGTTTGTTAAATATGACATGCAATAACCTTCCACATTTGTTGTGAGCTGCAGGCTTTAGACTTTCATGTGTCAAGAGTATTTATCATGTATTTTAATGCATATCAGTGTATTTAGTTCTACATTTAGAAAAGTTTCTTTATTATAGTAGCCATTTTTTTAATCGATGTAAAGAACAACTGGATGTTTACAAAAGCTTTTTGATATTGGTAAAGGCGTCTGCAACTTTTGTGAAGCATCAAATCACTGGCATATTAACTGTCAAAACATGTTTATGACTGCATAAATGTATTATTGCTTTAAAAAAAAGTCACGTTTTGTGCATTTCTATTATACACAATTTTTACTAAAGCGATCTAAAAAGTTCATATCAATAAGTTTTCTCTGTGCACCACCAGGTGGCAGTCTTTGTACCTTCATTTTCATTTTATATAGTTTAAAGAGCCCATATTATGGGTTTTTGAAAATTCCCCTCCATGTAGTGTGTAACACAGCTCTAAGTGAAGTGAAGTATCCAGCTAAGGCTTAAATCTGTAAGAGTACAGTGTTTAAAACGGTTGATTCATCTATAAAAGAGTCGACTCATAGTGCTTCAAACGAGTCGCCTTGATACCGATTCATTAGGTGTTTCGCCATGACGTACGAACGAAACCAAGTTATTCACGTGCACGCACAAACCCGGGAGTTTTCAAACCTGAGGCCCCGCCCTCTGACGCAGAAACCCAGTCACACACACACACACACACACAAACATGCCGGTCGATTGAAGTCACACTGCAGATGGATATTATATCGAGTCTCTACCCAAAGATGAAACCTCAGCATTATAGCCAAGCAGTTGGAAACTACTGGAAACTTCTGGCAACTACATGCTACAAAGAATACTTCATCAGCGTTTGTTAAAGGAAGGATCAGTAAAGAGTAACTGACTGATTGATGTCAGGATGGATTTTTCTTCCTCCATTTCTCAAGTGTAAGTACGTGCGGTTAAAGTTGCCTCGTTTACTCGAGCTTGCAAATGTATTTAGTTGTGATTTGTTACTTGTAACTGCGTGTACTGTATCAGGTTAACTGGCTATATTCTCTTATCGCGTGCAAAGTCACGTTAAAAACGCGACGCGTGCTGCTTTGTTAACGGAGCTCCGTGGACGAGGAGTAGTGTGTGTGTCTGTGTGTGCGCGCGCTGTCGTCCGGAGGTGTGTGTGTTTGTGTGTGTGTGTGTGTGTGTGTGTGTGTGTGTGTGTGTGTGTGCGCGCGCGTTGTCGTCCGGAGCAGGATTAAGTGCGTGTGTGTGTGTGTGTGTCTGTGAAAAGAGCAGAGTGAGAAGCTAGGAGATCTTCTCAACTGTTTTTGGAGTTTTTGCTCAATAAAATAGTTAGTCGTCTGAATTTTCAAGTCCATAGTCTGTATTTACATTCATCCACTGGGAGCTAAAATCCACGCCTACACTATCGAGCGTGTATGAACTGGGATTACATTTATATTGCTGATTAGCTGTTTGGCTTTTCACTCTGACTGAAGGCAGTCGACCAATCACAACAGACTGTCATTGGTCCAATCAGCGCAGATTAGCTTCGCGCTAAGGAGGGGTTTGGGAACAAATGAATCACTGGACGATTCATACAGGAGTCGCTGGGATAATTAGGTAAAAATAAATGCAGATTATAAGACCATGAAAGTGTTTTTTGACCTTGCATGCATATTAGACTGTTGTTGGAGACCCTTACAACCAAGATATGACCCTATTTCATGTATAATATGGGCTCTTTAAAATACGTACCATTTTCCCAAGTGTATATAACTACTACTGTAAGAAAATACATACTTTCTGTATTATCTTTGCTTGAACTGAGCCGATCTAATCCTGTTTATATGAATTGAACCTGCTCCCGATCAAGTTTGACCTAGCAGAACTGTTGCTATGACAATAACTCTCGGATCAGCTTTGAAGAACGAAACGATCCTGGATCGTGTCAAATCGTCAATATCCAAATCCAGCTAACTGAGTTATTCACGTACGAAGAACGGACCCCAGCATTGTTTTTTAGATAAACAAAAATGTTCACTCAGCATGTTTCTTAAATATCTACAAACATATTATGGTATTTTTATGCTTTAGAAGAGTCAAAACTTACATACAGCACCTTTAACAAAAAAAACAAGTAAAAACAGATATTTTTTTCTGCATTTTCCCCTGAAGGACAGAAGAAACAGGAAGAGGCGGTGCTATAAAGAGGAAGTGAACACTAACCACCTGTCACTCATCTCCTCATCTGAGCCTTTCTGCTCCTCGAAGTCCATCTTATCTTTGAGCGAGTGTCCCGCTTCTTCACTCTCCACCACCACTCCTTCATCCGCCACGTCCTGAGTGAGTCTCTGCACTGTAAACTTCCTCTTCTTCACCCTGTTCTTGTTGGCGTCGCTCACTTTGGCCTCCGGACCGAACACAGTCTCTCTGCCGCCCCCTACTGCTGGTGCTTTAGCTGGTGGCGCGAGCATTGCAGTGACATCTAGTGGTGGATCCACAGCCATGCGCTTGACTTTCCGGCGTCTTCGCAAACTGCGTGTCCCCAAAACATCCGCCCCGCTCAGATCATCCAGCCAAAGTGGTCTTTTTCCTCGGCCGGAGTCAGCAGTGAGAGGCGTTCGGCGTTTGGCGCCCAGCTGCTCATCAGAGTCACTGTTATTGTCACGGGTGTTAGCGCCCCCTGCTGCCGTGGAGGAACGGTAGTCTTTCTGCTCCTCCAGGCTGGATTCGGAGCCTTCGCTTAGGTGGCAGGTGTCCCAGGGTGGGTGAGGATTGTCGGAACGACGTTTCCGGCCACGGCGCTTGCGGGCCTGGCGCTTCAGCAGGCAACCGACGGCAAGGGCATGATCTCCTCCATCTCCAAACCCTCCACGGGCTTGTTCGGAGCTCTCCTCCAAAGCCGACACCAAGTCATGGACCAGCTCGTCCATCGTCCGCCGAAAGTGCCTGAAGAGGAGTGAACACAGGTCAAAACTTAGACACAAATGAACAAACCCTACTAAAAGGTCAATTTCAATCACACTTTATTTAAAGGGTCAAATCTTGCAATAAGGTGACGCTGTGGCGCAATGAGTGGCACATTCACCTCACACCAAGAAGGTCGCTGGCTCAAGCCTCGGTTGGGTAAGTTGGTTTTGTGTGGAGTTTGCATGTTCTCCCAGTGTTCGTGTGGGCAGAGGTGGGTAGTAACGAGTTACATATCAGCCATATCACCCTGCAGCCCAAGACCGGTTACTCACTGAAGCTAAGCAGGGCTGAGCCTGGTCAGTACCTGGATGGGAGACCACTAGGGAACACTAGGTTGCTGTTGGAAGTGGTGTTAGTGAGGCCAGCAGTGGGCGCTCAACCTGTGGTCTGCGTGAGTCCTAATGCCCCAGTAAAGGTGAAGGGGACACTACACTGTCAGTGGGCGCCGTCTTACGGATGAGACGTTAAACCGAGGTCCTGACTCTCTGTGGTCATTAAAAATCCCATGGCACTTCTCGTGAAAGAGCAGGCGTGTAACCCCGGTGTCCTGGCCAAAGTCCCTCTATCGGCCCTTACGATCATGGCCTACCAATCATCCCCTTCAACTGAATTGGCTCTATCACTGTCTCTCCACTCCACCAATAGCTGGTGTGTGGGGAGCTCAATGGTGCCGTTGTCCTGTGGCAGCCGTCGCATCATCCAAGTAGATGCTACACACTGGTGGTGGTGTGGAGAGACCCCCCTCATGATTGTGAAGCGCTTTGGGTGTACGGCCATACACAATAAATGCGCTATATAAATACACATTACATTACATTTACTTCATTACATTTACTCCATTACATTTACTTGAGTAAAATTGTTGGGTAATGTGTACTTTGAGTACATTTAAATATGTGTACTTCTACTCTTTCTTAAGTAAATTATTAGAAAATAAAACTTACTCTTACTTCGCTACATTTCGTTCCTCCATTACAGTCAAATGGAAATAAATATGATCAATATGTTTTGTTAACAAATTATGCTAGGCGCCGCATTGGAGAGGTTGTTTCGTGAGAGGTTGTCATAGAGACGCGTCTCCCACTTTTGGTTAGGGCGCGCGTGCCTGTGTTGGAATAATGGCTGAAGTCGAGGGAGACGTGCGAGTTTATACTGCGGTCACGCCATAGCCATCTGCGGTTCCGAGAAGGACGGTCATGCTGTCTGTGCAGTGAGTTTATCGGACCAGGTTAGCTAGCCTCAAGTTCAGTCTGTTAGCGGTTTAATAAAGCTGTTTAATGGAATAACTGATTATCCCAGTACATATTAGTCATTCAGGCTGTAAATATAAAAATATAACATTCAAACGTTATTTTTAACATAAACTCATAAAATTACATTATATTTTATATATTTTATATATATATATATATATATATATATATATATATATATATATATATATATATCAGGGCTCAAAATTAACTTTTTTACTTGGTAGCACCGGTGCTCCCAACTTCAAATATTTAGGAGCACCAAAAAAATTTTAGGAGCACCAGAAAAATTTAGGAGCACCACCAAAAATGAATGAGCACAGCTGCAAATAGTTTTTTAAGGGATTTATTGTATTTTAAAACAACATTAATAGGACTGACAAAACACAGAAACAACTATCTAACTAATGCTGCGAAGACATTTATATTTGTGTGCAATAATTCCAAAATGAATGTCTAATAATTAGGCCATAGAATATTAATGATGATAAAAAATGACAATAATAGTAACAATGAATTACATTTCTCATTATGATACTGCCTTGAATGTGCATGAATGTAGGTTATCTGCTATAAAAAGTCTGTTACTTTATGAAAAATAATTGAATAGTTTGCATCAAACAAAAATGAAGCATTGCAGTGAGAAATATTTATTTTGTACTGCTGTTTTTATATGCATGTCAATTTAATAAATATTTCTGCTACAAAACAAACAAAAGATTATAATAAATCATTCAATTCAATTATGAAAGCTGCAAAGCAGTCATCAGTAAATAAATATAAAAATAATATACACCTCAAGAAAGAATAGACAAAAGAAAGAAAGTAAAGTCTCACTTCTATCACTCTTTAAAAGTTTTGGTTTCAGTTTGTGTCAATTTAAATGTTCAATCTGAGCTGATCTTCATTTTTCTGTGTTAGTGGAAAAGCAGGAGAGTCAGCCGACCCAATTTATGAGCAGGCAGAGCAGGATTCTTGCGCTAACCATCGGCGCAATACCGGTCTTTGTTATGAGCCGCAGTTTCAGTGTAAACTTAGGAAAGGCGAGCTTCTTTGGCGATGATATGGACAGTATTAGATTTGACTTTTAGCGGACATTTGCGCTGAACACGCAGTGAATGCAACGCATGGAGACTCGGGCACCTTCTCCAAGAAGCGCGTACTCGATTGATCTCAGCTGGCGGATCATTATTCACCACGTGACGTGTCATGATCGCTTTCATCTGCGCCTCAACTTTAGATGGGTTTTGCAAACCTGTGTGCTTTAAGTTTTTACTCTTCAGCCGTTTGCATTTCCCGTGGTCATAAAAGCTCCTTCCCTGTCATCTGACAGCGGAATACCTTGAGTGAATGACAGCTAATATGAACCAATATAGCGGCAGGGAAGAGCGATTCAGCACGTTTTTACAAAAAATCAAAACAGGTCGCACTACAACCATTATAAGCAGTCGCATTAATGCGCCCAAATATTTTATGAGGTCGCATAGATTCATTTTCGGGCGCATATGCGACCAAAATGGTCGCAATTTCGAGCCCTGTATATATATATATATATATATATATATATATATATATATATATATATATATATATATATATATATATATATATATATATATATATATATACACACACATACATATACACATACATATACATATACATACATACATCCCCCTTTTTAATTTTTTTTTCTTTTTTTAATATTTGCTAAATGATGTGAAATTTTCACAGTATGTCTGATAATATTTTTTCTTCTGGTGAAAGTCTTATTTGTTTTATTTCAGCTAGAATAAAAGCAGTTTTAAATTTTTTATTCACCATTTTAAGGACAAAATTATTAGCCCCTTTAAGATATATTTTTTCTATATAGTCTACAGCAGTGGTTCTCAAACTGTGGTATGTGTACCACTAGTGGTACGCAGGCTTCCTTCTAGTGGTACGCGGAGGAATGAAATATGTCATGTACATGCTACACGCATTTCAAAATTTATCAAAAATGATGTATATAATATGTCATATATGACATATATACTATATTTCTGATGTAATCTGCCACGTTTTTTAACTGTGTAGAGTTGTAGCTGCTTTACTGGGCGTACTGCGCTACTGTATTTCAATACTTCTCATTTTGGTGGTACTTGGAGAGACTATTTTTTTCTGAGGTGGTACTTGATGAAAAACGTTTGAGAACCACTGGTCTACAGAACAAACCATTGTTATACATTTACTTGCCTAATTACCCTAACTTAGTTAGCCTAGTTAACCTAATTAACATATTTAAGCCTTTAAATGTCACTTTAAGCTGTATAGAAGTGTCTACAAATAGATCTAGTCAAATATTATTTACTGTCATCATGGCAAAGATAAAATAAATTAGATATTAGAAATGAGTTACTAAAACTGTTATGTTTAGAAATGTGTTGAAAAAAATATCTCCATGAAACAGAAATTAGAGAAAAAAATAAACAAGAGGCTAATAATTCTGACTTCAGCTGCATATATACCATTAATAATAATTAGCCCCCTGTTTATTTTTTTCCCCAATATCTGTTTAACAGAAAGATTTAACACATTTCTGAACATAATAAAAAAAAAAAAAAATACTAATACTACTAATACTTTTCTTCTTAGACTTTACAGACCTGATACTTGCCTATTGCACTAAGTCATTGTTGCTCTTATAGTTGTGTAAATTGCTTCCTTGTCCTCATTTATAAGTCGCTTTGGATAAAAGCGTCTGCTAAATGACTAAATGTAAATGTAAATAATAGTTTTAATAACTCATTTATGATCACTGATTTATTTTATGCTTGCCATGATGACCACATAATATTTGACTAGATATTTTTCAAGACACTAGTAATCAGCTTAAAGTGACATTTAAAGGCTTAACTAGGTTAATTAGGTTAAAGTTAGGGTAATAAGGCAAGTCATTAATGATGGTTTGTTCTGTAGACAATCAAAAACAATATTGCTTAAGGGAGCTAATAATATTGATCTTAAAATGGGTTTAAGAGGATTAAAAACTGCTTTAGCCGAAATAAAACAAATAAGACTTTCTCAATAAGAAAAAAATATTATAGGAAATACTGTGAAATTTCCTCAAAAATCATTTGGGAAATATTTGAAAAATAAAATAAATTAATGAATAATTTTGTGAAACTATATAATCAAGTATACACACACACACACACACACACACACACACACACACACACACACACACATATATGTGGATATATATGGGGTGGATTGGTGCAGATCTGCAGAGTGGCAGAGTGGATGCGCGCGTACTGAAGAGCGGTGTTATCGCGCGCGTACTGATCAGCTGTGTTGTCGCGCGCGTACTCAAGAGCGGTGTTGTCGCGCGCCTACTGAAGGGCGGGACCGAAGGTGTGCCGCGTCGCGGGGGCACTTTTGATCATTTTGGAAGGGCACTTTCTATCCAAGACTATGGCATGTGCACTTCACAGGTTGAGCCCTATGTGTGCACGTGCCTGGTGTGTATATGTGTGTATAAAAAAATTATAAGTAACTAGTAACTATTTACTTGAGTAATTATTTTATCAGGTACTTTTTTACTCTTACCCGAGTAACTTTTAAGATTGTTACATTTACTTGAGTATAGATTTTGGATACTCTACCCACATCTGCGTGTGGGTTTCCTCCGGGTACTCCGGTCTCCCCAACAAGTCCAAAGACATGCGGTATAGGAAAATTGGGTTGGCTTAATTTTCCTTAGTGTATGTATGTGAGGCCGTACTCACACTAGGTACAGTTGCCTCGAACCGGGCCAAAGCACGCTTGTCCCCCCTCCCGTCTCCCCCGACGGCCCGCGCTCACACCATATCGGGCCTTGGTACGCTTACGTCATCGCTGCTGCGCTGTTCAGAAGCGCTCTCTATGGCAAGCCTTTTTAGCATTTAAATCTTTGTTCTGACTCCATACATATATTTAGAGATATCTCTAATTATATTTTGACTAGTCATAATTATAATTCCACTACTCAGAATGACAATTAGAGAAATCTGCAATTACAATTGTACTAGTACGAAATCAGATTGAAGATATCTGCAAATATCTTATGACTAGTCATATTCCTCCATTGACTTACATTGAAAAATATTTGCAGATATCTCTAAATGAGTTTTGATTAGTCACAATTGTTATTAGAGATATGTCCAAATGAATTTTGACTGCAAATATTTTTCAATGGAAGTCAATGGAGGAATATGACTAGTCAGTCATAATATATTTGCAGATATCTCCAATCTGACTAGTCGAATTGTAATTATGACTAGTCAAAATATAATTAGAGATATCTCTAAATATATTTATGGATAGTCAGAACAAGGTTTAAATGCTAAAACGGCTTGATATACGCTCTCACCCAGTAGCACAGTGGAGATTTCTCTAATTATATTGTTTCAGTCGTTTGTTATGCAGTGACATGCAGTCAAATATTTCGCCAAACAGTTCTTAGGGATGCGGTGACACGCAGTCAGATATTTCACCGGACAGATCCGCCACTTTTGGCGCTCATAAACAATCATAAAGCTCTCGTGCTGCAGGAATGAGGAGGTTTGCTGAAGGCGTGCAGTGAGGGGTTTGCGTCTTTAATAAACTACGGCAGTTTGTGTTCACTGAACAGTAAGAATGATTAATAAATCCATATGAAACAGCCCCTTAAAAGTCACGTATCGCTTTCAGTTTTGGGCTTTGGCGTGTTTTGCACTCACACACAAGCGTACCGCGCCAAAGCCCAAGTGATCCGCGCTCAGGCACACCTCTTCCAACCGGGCCAGGGCCGGACAAGTGAACCGTGCTTGAGCCCGATTCAGCGCACTCACACTTCTCAAACGATCCGGGAAACGGGCCTGGGCACGGTACGGATGGCATAGTGTGAGTAGGCCCTGAATGAGTGTGTGTGTGGATGTTTCAAAGTGATGGGTTGCAGCTGGATAAGTTGGCAGATCATTCCGCTGTGGCGACCCTGGATTAATAAAGGGACTAAGCCGAAAAAAAAATGAATAAATCTTGCTATTAATAAGCCATTAACTCCTTTATTGTCACCCCAAACATTGGGGTTGTTCATGTCACATTCTAGCATAAGTCGCTCTGTTTTCATCAAATATTTCAGTTTTATTTGTCTGTTTAAAACATTTAAACTGGTTTGTTTGTCCACATCTTTCACACACAAGTAACATGTATTATTAAGGATTTACGCTTCCAAATTTGATATAAACAATGACTATGCCATCTAGGATCTATACATATTAAAACAATAACACTATTAATACGTCTGGAAAATCAATCAATTAATCATTGGTTTAAAGCTCTATAATAAAACACCACAGTATCAGCACGATAATAAAAGCGCAAAGGTCCAATGGTGACGGATTTAACCTCTTCTGAGACAAAATGTCAGCCATATGTCTGACAAAAATGTCAACAATATCAAAAACACTATGGCAATACAATGATAGGCTAGGTACAATAGTAAAGTTGATCATGTCAAATTATTCATTTCTGCATTATTTCTCTATTTAAAGCATTTAAATCGGTTTGTTTGCTGTCCACATTTTTTAACTCATCCACATTTGATGATGGTAAAAACAATGACTATGCCATCTAAACCCCTACTAGCTATTAGGTTCTATACATATTGAAATCATAACACTTGTCTGGTGAATCAATCAAATAATTAATCATTGGTTTAAAGCTCCATAATAAAACACCACAGTATTAGCACGGTAAATAAAAGCGCAAAGGTCCGGTGGTGACGGGTTTACCATCTTAACGTTATTTCTGATACAAAATGTCTGCCATATGCATATAATGTGATTTTTACTTATTTTAAAATGATATTATTTCATCAACATTAACAAAAACACTGCATAGGGATACAATGGTAGTTACAGTTGTGAGGTTGATCAGGTCAGAAATTCACACTTCGGACACATCATGACCGAATCTAAATAAACGGAGAGAATAACTTATAAAATCACGCAGTCAATAACCTACCAGCCGGTTCCCGCTTTACCGAAGCTCTTGATCTCGGCGGCGCGGAACATCAAACCCGCAGAAAACGACAAAAACTCACAGGAAAATATCGAGGCCGCGCTGACAAACCATAGCGCCTCAACAACAACACCTCCAGCGCCGGAAGCGGACTACAATAGTTAAAAGACACGTTTCCGGAATCCGAGCCGCCTTCTCTCAGCCATATATATATATGAGAATCCCTTCAAATACACTATTAATACACTATTAATAATAAAATTAAGGAAATTCATTCACATACAAGTTACCCAGTAAAATAGTTGTTATTAAAGTACATGATATCTGTGGTTTCTGCAATGTGAAGAGAGCCTTTGTCATTTATTTTTTGAATGCAACTTTGTAAACAATTTCTGGAAGGATCTAGCCAAATATATTTTTAAACAGACACAATTTAGTTATTATTTTAAATTAAAAGATATTGTTTTTATTATAAAAACAAATCCAGCAAATGTCTTTAATATATTGTTAACCTCTTCATTTTATTGGCAAAGTTTTACTAAGACAAACAGAAATTTGCTAAATCATCTCCCACGTTACGTTTTTTGTATCGAGTTTGACTTCTTTATTTTTACTATGAAACTGTTGAAAAGCAAAAAAATCTGTAAAATATCAATTATTGTGACACTTTTTTTGATTCCCCTGTCAATTCTTAATATTATTGAATGTAGAAATGCTGTGCACTATACTTTTTGTAATTATTCATTCATTAATTTTCTTTTCGGCTAGTCCCTCTATCAATCTGGAGTCGCCACAGCGGAATGAACCGCCAACTTATCCAGCCAACTTATCCAGCACATGTTTTCATTAGCCCATGCAGCCTCATAAACACACATAAAACTGAATGTGTGTCATGTAATTCACAAGTGTGTATTTGGACGGTGAACTTGAGGGTCTCAGATGAACTTGACCCTCTCACATTACCACAAACACACAGTTTACAGCAAGTAAATATAGAAAGACTCGGTCTCTGTGCCTCATAAACACGCTGTAACGCAGAACGACTCTCTGATTAAATGCCTCATTTGAAATTACTCGCAATTTGGGCTGATTTCATCTGCAACATTTGAGTGTTTAAAACTTGCGGTGGCCATGCAGAGAGAGGATGAGGAGATGGAGAATGACACTGAAAGTGAACTGAAGGTTCAGACAGAAGAAGAAGAAGAAGAAGACGAAGAAGATGAAGCCATCACCTCCAGCTGGTCTTGGGTAACCTGCTATCTTTATTTGGCATTTTTTATTAGGCATTTGAGTGTAAAGCCTTTTGTAAAGCTTCTTTGAAACAATAATTATTGTGAAAATCGCTATAAAAATAAACTTGAATTGAAATTATTAAAATAAATTTTTCCATATTTTGTGACTTTTTATTATTTTTTTCAATTTATTTATGCTTTTTGATTTGCATTATTACACCTTGATTTTTCTTCCAACAACTTTTAACCTTGAAAAGTTGGAAAAAGTGACTTTTATTAACATTTTTAATAGTTTAAAGTGGTCAATTGTCTGGGTCGGTGTTGTTTATTATGCTAAAATAACCTTGTTATAAACTACCAGCACATTTTCTGTTATTTTACAGACTTCTTTCTCTATATAATATATCTTATACATTCTATTATTTCAAACTACTGAAATGTCAATAAAAGTTTCTTTGTTTAACTGTAGAGTTGAACTTTCCACATCAAAAGTTAACAGAGCAAAGATCAACATCCCATAATGCAATTCACAACCATAAATAAATGGAAAACACTCACAAAATATGGAAACTGTTAAACAACAAATGTTTTTTAACAGTGCATCTAATAAAGTCATCAAAACTATAAAATAAGAAAAACATTACAATTATGTATCTGTCACGATCACCAGTGATTTATGAGGGTTAATGTAACCAACCCAAGCTCATTCTGAAAACGCAGCCCCGCTGACGTTTCTGGAAACCGCCATTTAAGTGGCCGGAGGTCCGTATAGCTGTATTTCGTTTTTTCAAGGGAAAGCTACGGGGCGGTGTGACGCCGCTTCTCTTCGCACTCGCTGGCTGGGCTGACAGCTCACCTCTGTGTGGAGGGCTTTCCCGCCGCAACCAGTTTGTCTGGTTAGCTTGTCGTGTTACGTCAGTGGAGCGGAGGCCCGGAGGAGGAGGAGCTGGCCGTGGCGACGATCGGGTTCGAGTCTGGGAAATCAGGTAAGACAAAAAACAGAATCCAAAAAATAAAGCGAATGAGATCGTAACGGGGCGAGAATGCAGTGAAATCCAAAAACGTGGTCAAAATCAGATAAGGCCTTTTCATTTTTTGGACGGCTTTTGTAAATCGTTGCTTGGGTTTAGGGAAGAAGGATGAGGCGGAGGGTGGCTGGGTCGGCCGATTGGCCAGCTGTCCAATCAATCGTTCAGTCATTCATTCAGTCAGTCGGACAGACGGTCGCTCGACATCGACCTCCGGTGGCTTTTTACATGAGAACAGAGCGGGCGCAAATGGAGCGCGCTCGCAAGAGGCGTTTGAGACACAAAAAAGCGCACACACCGGCCACTAGCGGATTCGCGAAAACAAAAACTGCACAAATACGTACCTCCCAATACATATTTCGCAGTCTCCAGAAACGTCCGTGGGGCTAAGTTTCCAGAAAGAGCCTGGGTTGAATGTAACAGGGTATGTATCAACAGGTCTCGGCAATGTCTGTGAGTGTGCAATTTATATGGTCATTATGTGTGTATTCAATTGAGAACCGGGACAGGTGTGTGTGTGTGGTACCTAAAGGGAGTTGTAGATCATATGGAGGCAGAATTATTTAGAGTGAAATTGAATGTTCTCCAGCAATCTATGAGGATTAGATTGCTGGTGATCATGACAGTAATAACCCAAAAGAAAAATCAAGACATAACTAAGAAAACTGCGATATATGTCAGAGTAATTGGTGGTTCATTCTGCTGTGGTGACCCCTGATAAATCAGGGATCAAGCCGAAGGATAGTGAGTGAGAGTGAACTAAGAAAACCTAAAATCTTGTATTTTAGCTTCTTCACTCTAAAAATACTGAGTTGTTTTAATCCAATGTTGGGTTAAATATGGAAAATGCCAACACTGGTTTAATTTTTTTTTCATTCATTGATTCATTCATTCATTCTCTTTTCGGCTTAGTCCCTTTATTAATTTGAGGTAGCCACAATGAAATGAACTGCCAACTTATCCAGCATATGTTTTACACAGTGGATGCACTTCCAGCTGCAACCTATCACTGGGAAACATCCACATACTCTCACTCACACACATATACTACGCACAATTTAGCCTACCCAATTCACCTATAGCGCATGTGTTTGGACTTTGGGGGAAACTGGAGCACCCGGAGGAAACACAGGGAAAACATGCAAACTCCACACAGAAATGCCAACAGACCCAGCTGAAGTTCAAATTAGTGACCTTCTTACTGTGCTTCCACTGCGCCACCTCGCTGCCTCTAACTAAATAATTGAATCATTTAAAACAGGGTTTAGTGATGAGGCATTGATATTGCCATGTGAAGCATGTTGCATGCTGTTGGCCTTGTGCAATTTGCTATTATCTCTTAGATAAGTTATTATACCATGCTGTAAATTGCAAGCTGGATGTTTGGTGGAAGGAATGGAACGGAGGCCTCTTAGGGAGCTCAGTAACTCCTGCTGGAGTGAATTTGTGCCTTGTAACTTTGTAGATGTTTTTCATGTTCAAACAGCACCAAACAGTAAAGAAAGTCAAAACCTTAAAAGTATAATAAGACCCATTTAAAGAGGACCTATTATGCAAAAAAATCACTTTTATAAAGGGTTTAAACACAGTTAAATATATCCAGCCTCTAATGGTAAAATGTATAGATTAATTTTTTTATAATCACACTTGATAAAAACAGTCTGCAGAAACACTTTGATTGACATTCTTTCATTGTACGTGCCATCAGAAGGGGAAACGCCGCCCATTAGTGACAATCTCTCCCTCATTAGCATATCTTTTTTAATCTGCTACTGTGCTTTTGTACTTGTAGCCCCACCCTCTTTTGAAAAGAGCACAATCTCATTTGAATTTAAAGCGACAGTCACCAAAATGGCACAATTATAGCACAGCCTAACAGGGGCAGTTTCATACAGTTAATTTGTGTGGTATTTTGAGCTGAAACTTCACATTCACAGCAAGAAAAAAGACTTATTTTACATCTTGTAGGGGCATAATAGGTCCACTTTAAAGGTTCACGAAACCCTCGAGTACTGTTTTTGAGATTTTAACAGATTTGTGTGTGTTGAGCATCAGTTTAGACGATGTGAGCACCTGTTAGCTTTAATTGTGAGTAAAACTGGATCATTTTGAGCTTTTGTTAGGTAATTTCAGCTAACGGGTTTAAAATGATTTTTGGGGCGGGATCTAAATTGCCGATGTAGCGCAAAACTGCAAGTGCAAAGATGACGCGTCGGTTTCTCATAATTATTCATAAATGAGTTTTCTTATCCTATGAGAAGAGCCGGCTTCTTAATTATTCATGACTGCACATGCTTTCCGAAGGCAAGGCAGACCTGCCAGTGCCAAGCTGTGAGACACGGACCCACGGCACACAGTATTTAGCCGTTCATGAAGGGTCGTATGTGTTTGTTTCCATGATCCATGGGGTTTGTTGCATGTTTTTCCCCGTGATGCTGTCAGGCCCGATACAGCAAAGCTATTTGTGTGCAGCAAGCATTTTTGTCAGGAGAGCAGTAGGAGAATTGGAGAATGGCGGACGTTGTCTTTTATCAGGAGTTCGTTCACATTTAGACACATCGCCGTGCTGCTGTATTTACCTAAATCTTCCTAATTACCAGCAGGGCTAATGGTTAAAATAGACAGGGCAAGAGACCTGCTGCACTGAGTCTGCATTCAGACCCGGGATTGGGGGAAAAGTCCTTATTTATAGTGTTCATATGAACACGATTAACTTTATAATTATATAAATTGTGGTTATCTGTATATGAAATTCTGAATAACAAATGTATCAGGGCATTACATTACTGTTTATTTATTTGCATTTTAACTTTGTAAACAATAAAATGCGTCTCCTCATGGATTGTGTCTCATTTTGTGAGCTGACAGACAACAGTTGTTCGCTCCCCTCCTTCTCCCCTGC